TTCGTCGGTTTTGTTGCTAATCCCTACAAGTTCTCTAGTTTCTCCACTCTGTTGGCAGCAGGATTTACCACTTTATTAGGAGTCTGCCCAATCCAAAAAATGAATTTCCTCAACATATCTCTGTTTTTCACAGTATTTTAACAATAACACTGTCGTAACTAGTTAATAGTTGACCTGTGAGACGAACAACACCCAGTCCTTTTCCTCCAGTTTTAGGCATAACCAATACTTCTGTATCTTAAATTTCTATTTGGGAAGTTTTAAAATTTCGTCTAAATATGCGGTGGGATTCTCTTCCCTTCTGAAATCTACTCTCTGTTGAATTAGTCTTCCAGTTGGTCTAAGTCAACATGAAAATTGCTTCTGCCTCCTGGAGTCTCAGGTTGTGTCCCGAGAAGCAGAGCCTGCAACAGGGCCTGGGCCAGGGGTTTTATTGAGGGAGTCCTCTTCAGGAAACCCCTGCAGGGGCGAGGGGGCAGGAGAGGGAAGGGGAAGGAGCTGAGCAAGGATGTGGTCTCAGGCAGTCTAGCCTTGCCTGATCCACTGGGGTGGGCGGTGGGGGGCTGCTCTGGAGTAAGATCACAAGGCAGGGTTGTCCTGCCTGCAACAGACCGTCACTGTTGTTCCCAGAGGGGAGCATATGACCCCTGGAGCCTCCCAGCCGTGGGACCTGAAGAAGGTGGGAGATGTGTGCACAGGTCTGGGACAGGTTATCTGGGTGGAGCACGCAACATTTACCACGGTCCACGCCGTGCAGTGCTCAGGTCCACTGCCTTCCCGCATAAGCTCGCCCCACCTAGATACCACTTCTCCAGGATTCTGATTGGTCACAATTTCTGGAGAAGCTTGCAAGAGGAAGGATAGAGGAGGAAAGTAGATTTTTGCTGTGGCAGCTGGTCCCGAGGTTCGTCATCACCCTCCTTTACCCCCTGTTCTAGATCCGCCTCATCCTTAGCTCATACTTGCACTAGTGTAAGTGGTTTGCTTGGTGGGGTGACTCAGACCCACATCACTAAGGGGTCTGGGCTCCACCTTACTGTGCCTTCTCAGTCAGTGGTGACTGTATTTACCGTTTACAGTTAAAGTTGGGAGTGTGGGAATGACAGGATGCCTCAGTAGATCGCTTGAATGCCAGATAGATCCCTCACGCCCCCACATTGTGTCAGGCTTGCCTCCCCATAGTGATCAGGGTCAACGACGTCTGGCGCTCCTTTGTGCCTGCAGTGACCAGGTGCAGCCGTAAGTTTAGTGGGAATCTTGATGCGCCCCCTGCCGGAAACATCCTCCTGTGTGAACCAGGGCTTCTAGACTCACGCGGCCAAAGTTGTGAGGATGGGAAGCACAGAGTCCCCAGTGGGTCCCGGTAATGATGGAGCCGTGCCACTCCCACGCCTACCCATTGGCTCCCCAGCCCTTGTGGTCCACCTGGTTGGGCCATGGTACCAGGAAATGGCTTTTGATCTGCCCCTGGAAGGACAGCACCCTCCTCACAGGGTGTCTTCCTCCCATCTGGCATGTCAGCGTGCCTTCAGATGTCCTTCCTGCAGCCCTGGAGAGCTGGCAGCTCTGCGTGAGGAGGTTTGTGGCCAGACCAGTGGGTCCTGTGTTCATGTGTCCTTCACCACTGTGTTTGCCATGGGGGCTCACTCAGTGCAGGGCGTGTTTTTCAGGGTCCTGTGTCAGGAAATCAGACAATCTGGGAGCCTTTGCATAGTGGTGGTGGCTGAGGCACTGTGTGGGAAGGCGAACCCATACCCAAATCATGTGTCAATCCTGATCATTATGAATCGTTGACCTTTTCAGGGTAGAAGGATCTGACGGAATCATCTGCTGCTGGGTAGCTGGTGTCTTTCCTCAAGGGATGGCACCGCATCAGAGGGCCAGTTTGGGATTCCATTGCTGGAAGGTAAGACCTTCAGCAGCAGGCGTGGCGTGGTCTTCTCCTCAGCCTGGGCTTGGTCTCCATCTCTGCATCTTTGGCTGTTCTGTTCTTGAACCCGTTGGGTAAGCACTGGGGTGACCAATGGCAGGCTGGCTGACATCCCGACCACGTCGTCCTGTCTACTTGGTGTTCAGCGCTGCTTCTACGGTGGATGCTCTGGTGGGAATTAATGTGCAGTGTGAAGGTCTCACACGTGTTCCCACTCTAACAAGGCTGTCCACTTGCCTCTTCCACAGAACCTTTCTGTTCCCATACCTTCTCAGTGGGCTGAGCAAGGGTATATACACACGCACATTTTCATATATGTTTTTTATGTTTATTTACACATATTAAAATCCATGAGTTCATACCAATCTCTCTAATTCCAGTCCAACATCCTGGCGTTCATTCTAGATTTCTCCCTTTCCATTTTTGTAACTCCTTCTCCAACAGTGAGAAGCCTGGTTCTCATTATCCTTAATAGACTTATTTATGGGAGATTTGCAGATTCCTCTGTGTAGCCTCACATGGCCGTTGTTGCCCCCCTACTTTGTGGACACCCTCCTTACCCCACTTGGGCTCCAGTACCTGACTCAGTTTCCTCCTTGCCAATGGATGCTCCCTGGTTCTGCTGAGGCTCTGACGCCTCAGGCCAGGCTGCCCTTCTTCGTGGATGTCTTCCTCACCCTGTTCAGTCTTTGACACCACTCAGAGGGAGGTAGGGGCCCCACAGTCCCTGAGCTTGAACCTCCTGGTCCAAACTGTCTTTCTCAGAGTTCTCAGACATTGGCCCAGAGAGGAGGTAGTGTCACCTTGTTTTTATTTGCCATTTTTTCTTTAGTGCATAGCTCTCTCTAGAATCGCCCATGAGGGGGACAGAGCAAGAGGGCAGAATTTGGGAATTCCGATACCATCAACTATTATGTTCCTAAAATTAAGCTCAATAAGATGCAAAGATAAAAATGGAAAAATATGGAATTGTCATTGTTGTGTGCTAGTGTATGAGACGTATTAAATTCTCTTTATGGTAACAGACACTACACAGCACTCCTTGAGTACATATCACAATATTCAGGTTAACAAATCACACACCAGGTGATCACAAAGCCATATGTGATGGATGATAACCGCCTTTAGGAACAGCTTTTTAATTTCCATTCCACAACTTAACACCATAATTATTACACCCATCATGGTCTTATTCCACATAATCCTGGAAATACTTTGGTCTCAAAAGAAAAGGGCAAGGGAAGACTTTCCCAAATGAAGTATTTCTTGCTGTAATAATTGTGTTTTTAACATAAAGGATGAGATTATGCCGATATCTCCTTGGCTTTAGGAGCTGGACATGGAAATTGAACTACAGTTACTGCTGGGAATCTCGTCGCATAATAAAAGAAAGAGCAAATTTGAAGTGGGTTAAGACTAGGAATAAAATGCAGGCTGTCTAGTTCAATCTGAATTTCAGGTAAGCAACAAACACCTTAGCACAAATGCACCCCAGACATTATGGGGGACATACTTATACTAACAACTTATTTGTTGTTTATCCAACATTCAGATTTAATGGCGTGTCCTGTGTTTTCATCTGATAAATCTGGCAATCCTAGATAAGAAAAGAAGTCAAAAAGTTGTCATCTGTTTGTTTTTCTAAAGCCACAGAACAATCCCAACCACTTTACCCAAGAAAGAGAATGTAACCCAGATAAAAACAACTGGCTCTAACAGGGGTTTCTCCAGATGTTACCAGAATGGGCATTAAGTGATCAAAATGGAAGAAACCGACTAGGGAAGTGTCCCAACCATGGGAGAAAGAGAGGGAGAGACAAACCAAGAAGACAGAAGACAGAAGGAAATACATGGAAGAGTAAAGAGAACAAGAAAGGACAAGGACAGAAGAGAGAGAGAAACTCTCAGGAGAAGGAAGATGGAGCCACTTAGGAGAGGGGACAGCCATTTGCACCAGCTCATCAGAAGCAGAGTGGAGCCTGAGCCCTCCAGAAGGGGACCACATGGCCACTCATCTCCAGCTCCAAAGCAAAGATACAGCCCATCTCATAAATCATCAAAAATCATAATCAGGTGCTTATCAGATCAAGAATCTAGTAAACCTAATTGCCCAGCCCCAAAAAAGGAGTAGCTGGCCAGGCATTTACATCTGTGCTCCGTGGTCAAGCTGTAGACTCAGAGTGGTTTCTTATTGTGAAAAATGCTTCTGTAGCATCTCCCCCATATCCACTTTCTCCAAAATGAGCCCCTCTAACTATGTAACAAACGTGTCTTCTTATTCATGGTTTAGGAAATTATTGCAATAAAATGTACCGGAATAGAGTCATAATAACATCCCAAAATATCCTACCAAGAAATCAGATTTTTTAACACCACAGACCACAGATAATATCCTAGACCTTCATTTTCCTACTCAGCAGAAGCGTTAACATCCCGTTTATGTTGTAATAGCGACAACAGGCAAGAATGCAACTCTGGCTGCAGAGTTTAAGCAAATGAGGAAAATGAAGAGTATCAGAGACTTTGGAGCACATGTGACCCAAATATTTTTCCTAACAGATGAAGAGACTACCCACTGGGTCAACATCTTACGTAAGTCGAATTTTAAGAGGCTTAGACCAGTTGGGAAATGGAGCAGCAGACTCTCTTGGGGTCTCGCCTGCGCCTCCCGCCCTCGCCAGCTCACTCCAGCTCGACTCCAGCCGCCAGCACCTCCTTTCCTTCACCCTGACGGCTGCCTTCCCTGCTCGTCTCATTTCTTCACCCTCTTATCCCGGCTCTTTTCACCTCCCACATCAGCCGCCTTCACTGGGGTCATGATCTGTTGCTGGGGAACCCGAGTTAAGACAGACAGACGTCTAGAAGTTTGCTATATCTCCAAATTTCTGGTCAACATAATAGATTATTAGAATGCATTTGGCTAATAATTGTCACTTTATTATACTTTGATAATATACTATTGTGCATAACAACAATAATTTCTCTTTCTATCACTTAATGTTTTCTAAAAACTTTTATATATTTTATGCTAATTCAGTGTTCTTTCATCCACTTATGTTTTCTCTTTTAGATGAGTTTATCATCAAGGAGAGTGAAACTTTGCTCTCGGTAGATGGCCATCACCAGACCCTGAAGATGAACAGGAAGAAAAACATAACTGCTTAAGAAACATGTGAGATGAGGCAGACATGGAAGAGGCTGAAGTCCGTGTAAAGGCTCCGTCGTCATTTAAGTTGCTCGTCACTTATACAGCAGCTCGATGGGCTGGGTTACCTGTGTCTGTGTCCTAAATCAGGCTAAAAACTCGAGAATCAGAAAGTTCTGAGGTTTCTTTGAACTCTAAAAATTTCTTCTTAAGTAGCCGCAGGAAAGTCACCTCAGCGTGTCCGGCATTTCACTTCCCAGGCCACAAAGGGTTTGAGGAAGTTAGGAAGGAAAAGACACTTTATTCAAGCCCCCTGGGGTAGACAGTTGATGTATTTTTGGCTGCCCGACTCCCTAGAACACTCTTCCTATTTTGGGAAATTCTCCATCTTTTGAGTCCTGTCCTTCCTACCACAGAAGCCAGAAACTCTTTCCTGCCTCCCGTCAGCCAGGCCCCCGCGTGGGATAGAGGACCCCCGTCAGACACTTGTGTGACACCTCCGTTCAGAGGCTGGTGCCACACAGGTTCACTCTGGGACAGCGACTGCACAGATTCCGGAGGCAGTGGGCCGAGGGTCAGCTGTAGGCTGCAGCTGGCTTTCTGGGGCGGCTGTGGCTGTGGCATTGCCTCCATCTGGTGACTCCACAGGATCATCCTGTGGCAGGGTTTGCAGTTGCTCAGGCTGTGTATCTGGTCCTGGAGAGTCCGTGTGCTACCAAAACCATTCGCCACATTTCCTTAATGCTTAAACCAGCCAGTTTGCAACTGACAACTAACTGACACCGTCTTTACATGCAAAGCCACGAAGGAGGGAATTTAAAAATGAATGGGATCTCGTCCTCAAGGAGTCTATGTAACACCGTGGAGAGAAGGAAAGTAAATGACCACAATAGCCAGCGGCCTCCGAGGGGCAGAAGAGTGCTGTAGGAAGAGCAGACCCTCCGAGCCGTCCTGCCGGGGCTTCCAATCCTGGCCCCACTGCTGTTAACTTCGTTTCCTTGGACTAGTTGCTTAACCTCTCTGTGCCTCAGTTTTTAATCTGTAAAATGGGGATAATAATATGATTACCTTATAGGGTTTTATGGTGGAGAGTCCTCATTGCCTCCCCACCTGCGTTCTCTCCTTTCTGGGCACACGGCTGAGCAGTTCGAAATTGTATTTCACCCTCCGTTAGAAGGAACTCTGTGCAACCATGTGACTAAGGTTAACAGCAGAGTGAGAGCACAAGCCATGTGTACAGCCCTGGCTCTACTTGGTTAGGAGGAACTTCCTTATCCTGGATGAACTCTTTCTTCCCTTTCCTCCCGGCTGTTTGGAGGTGGTGTTCACAGGTGGTGAACCATGATGGGGAAGCTCAGCATTGGGGATGGCAGAGCATCCTGCTCGCCTGGGGCATGTTGACTGTAGAATGGAGTCCCGTCTACCGTCGCGGCCTTGTCATGAAAGAAACCACTGTCTGTGTTCCCCGTGGCCCAGATTAAGCAGTTGACCCATGGCTACACTCCAAGTGCCAGAAGTGGGATGTAAACCCAGGTCTGTCGGCCAGAGAACACTAGGTTGAGTTTCAAAATACAAATGTCCTTGTTATTTAAACAATCTCACATTCGTATGAAAATAACGAGGCCCTAATCAGTATTATCACCCTGAGAATTTACATCTGTTAGGTTCCCTTGAAGGTCAGGAGGGTCCTTCCACCCCGGGCTGCCGCATCCCTCACCAACACTGAAAGGGGCCGTCAGGGAACAGAAGGTGTGTGGCTCAGACTCTAGGGTGGTGACCATGGAGAAGGAGTCCGTGTCTCACTGACAAGACTGTCCAGGGGTTCCCACCGGGAAGGGAGAAAGTGACAGCAAGAGGACTGAGGGGCCTGGCTGTCTGTCCCTCCAGGGAGATAAGGAACAAATGACGCACAGGGAAGACCAGCGGCGACAGAGGATGAGAAGCAGCAGTCACAGCAGGGAACTGCAGACCCAGAACAAAGACCCTCCACCTTTGCCTCGATGGTAGGTACGTATTTGTTCTTTCTTCCATCTTAATAGTCAGTGAGATCCCCATGTCACCTCCTTGGGGACGTCACTTCTTTTCTAACAGCTCATGTCATTTCACTATATTCTGCCTGCGCAGGATGTAGTCATTTAATGGTTCATTTGCTCATATTGACGATTTAATACCTGCACAGGGAGCTCCTCCAGGCCTGATTGCATATGGATCAATGGTGACTTTCGATTGACAGCTCTTCCTCATAACAATAATGGGGGACCTCGAGGATTGCGAGGGAGGGGAGGGGAGCGGAGCATCTATACACTTGACTTTTTAAGCATATAATTTTCTTTACTTCTACCAACTCATGACATTTCATTGTCCCAGTTTTTAGAGATGAGAAACCTGAAGTTTAAAGAGGTTACATAACTTATCCAAGATCACAAATTTAGCAAGTGGAGGAACTGGTGTTCAAGCTCAACACCCCTGACTTGGAAGTCTGTGCCCTCACCCTCTGCCTGTGCACAGGCCCCTGAGGACGGTGCCCTTCAGACTGAACCGAGTCTCCTCTACGAAGTGGGCAGGATAAAGGTCCTTACCTGGCGTAGCTGGGCACGATGAAACAGTGCACGCACTTAGCACAGTGCCTGGCACACAGTAGGTGCTGACTGTGCTGGGAACACCCACAAATTTTCTGCATGTAACCGCGAAATGATGCAGTTTTAATGGCATTACATTTTGCACTGAAGCCAGAGGTTTGTGAGGCTGACTGATCCGTCAGCTGGCTAGCCTCCCTGAGCTGTGAGTGGACCTATGGACTCATTGTTCCATTTTGGTAGTAAGTGAAGAACTATCATAATTAAGACAAAAAAATAATGAGGCGACTGACTTCTCTTGGTTGCTCCAGAAGGTAAACAAAAGCAAACGAGAGGAAGTTACAGAAAAGCAGACTCCAACACCATTTTGAGGGAGAAGTCCAGTTGTCGGATGTTTCCTAAGGAAGTAAAGGTCACTGAATATGCCCAAGCTGACCAGGCCCACCTGACAAAGGTGACCTGCGACCTTGTCCCGCGCTGAGCGTGACACCAACTGCAGTGTTCTCATCCAGTCTCTCGGCTGAGTCTTTATGGCTGTTTTGTAGCTTAGGGAGAACTGCTCCATTTCCTTCCTGGGTAATTTCAGGACATCCCAACCTCGAAATTTATGTGAATTATGCTTGATTGAAGACTATTTTCTTCTTCAAATCCACTTTTCCCATTTGTCTCTCCCCGCACCTTTTGGGGGAAGAACCGTGTGGAGCATCTGCTCTGACTTCCTGTCCTGTCCTCCAGCTCTGAAGAACACCCCCGCTCCTGTGGGGGAGGGAGGTTGGCTCTCCTTTGAGAAATCCCCTTCTGTGTGCACTAGTCACACCCTGGGTACATTTTACGTCTTATTTTTAGGAGCAAAGTATAAAGAATCCTGGCACCGCCGGCAGTTTCCGTGGCAACCCGCCTGCCCCCTCGCTGGTCCAGCTGTGCAGAATGAGACTCCGCAGGAGGCCGGCTCACACCTGCGGGGAGAGCGCTGTGAGGGTGCGGGCGTGTGGAGCAGCCCGGAAGTGGGGTGGGGGGGTGAGAGAAACAGCCTTGACTTAGAACTGGAACTGTTATGGGTCCCGGGCGTTCACTGGCATGCCCTAGTTGCCCTGGTGTTTTCCCACAGGGCATGGTTTTAGACACAAAAATAGCATTTAGACCAATGAAAACTAGGTTTGGGTATTTATATCAGAGCAGCTTGTTGATGGTCCCCCTTCCGCCGCCTCACCTCTCGGGGTCTTCCTGCCTAACCTTCCAGGCTGCACTGGATCACACTGACATGCTTTCGTGTTCATCTTAAGTAGCTCTTTCAAGCCAACTATCCTGGATCTCAGACGCTTTCACCACCCTCCCCTCTTGACATGGTGGGAAGAGCCAGCGTCTCTGGGCCAGGCCTCGGCGGGCCTGTAAAAGCTGCTCCAGGAGAGAGTGATCTGGGGGACACCAAAGGACCTCCAGTCCAAAGTGACCTCCCCCAAGGCCGTGTCATGTCCCAGACCCTCGTGATAACCACGGCTCCGTGTTAAGTCATTTGGTTCCACAGGATTCTGGGAAATTGAAAATACGCTTTTGGGAGGAATAACATTTTACAATCAAATTTATATTTTATATTCTGCTTACTTCTAAGAAAACAAGAGGCGGCTCGTAATAAAAAAGACATTAGTATAGAGACCACAGAAAGGAATAAATAAATATGGGTAGACCATGCTTACACATCGATTGAGCTCCAGGTTTCCTGAGGCCAGTCAAATGAATTTTTTATTATAACTCATTATATGATTATCACCTGTTAAAAGAAAAGACACTAGTTTGTCAGGAGAGAGACATTATTCTGATATGAAATTCTTAAAAGGAACTCTTGAACATATGAAAGAAGAATGAAGTTTTTTCAACAGTAATTTAGGAAAAGATGCAAAATCATTCTACACATGGTCATTAAGTATATTGACCTTTGATAAAATCTGAGGTTATAACCTCAAAATAAAACTCAGTGGAGCCACTGAGGTGATGCCTTAAACCCTCTAAGGCACAAATACGCTAAGTCAATCCTGGAGCAGCTCAGCTCTGGGAGTGTTTGCAGGAGAGGGCTCCGAGGGAATGCGACACGCAAGGCTGGATTTCTGTAGGAAGTGGCACTGAGGGCCACCTGTGGGGTCAGAGGAAATGTGGGGCTAAGGCTGGCCATCAGGCATAGGAAGCTGCTCATACTAAGGAAGAAAGAAGGTCACGAGGCAAAGGGAAGGGGGCGGCAGGAGAAGGTGAAGGTCAAAGGTGAATGGAACCTGCTGGGGAGTTGGCCCAAGGCGTCCCCGGAGCAGGCAGCTCTGATGACGAACTGGACAGTAGCAAAAGAGGGACAACCATCGTCTCAAATGACTTTCATTTGGTTCTGTATTTGTAAAGCACACTTGTTGTGGGTAAACTGTGACCCTGAAAGTGATAGATGAAAACTGTAGTCTCAAAATTGCACCTCTAAGAGGAACATTTGTCCCACAGCTTCTTGGTTTAACTTCCTTCCTTTCACTGGAAGTTTGAAAGTAGAGTTTTTTTGTTTGTTCCTTTGTTTGTTTCGGAAAGCCATTAGTAATCCAGAAAAAATAAGCTAAAATTCTCTAAAGCGTTTGAGGAGTGAGCTCAAGTCGCCCATCCTGCAGCGTTGTGATTTTTCCTTCGTGTATTACTCAAGCGGGATGTGTTGGCTGCCAGAAGATGTTAGAATCAGTTTTTAAAAATAGCACAAATTAAATACTGACATTAAGGAATATGGAATTGATTTTCTCAACTCGGACTAAGTTTTCCCTTTACCCCTAAGTTTTGGTAATGCTAAAATATCAGCAAAATGGATTTAGTTTAAAACAGCAGGAGACCCTTATTTTCTGTCCCCTCGCTTTTAAAGACGGCTGGTTCTAGGAGCAGAAAGGGACCTTGGTGTCTGGGGTCCACTCCCGCCTATGTATCGTAGTGGCTGTAGAACCAGAGCTGACGCCCAGCGGTTGTGCACTGTTGTGCGTATTTGTCTGTGTGTGTGAGTTAGGGGAAAGTGGTGGGAGGAGAAAGAAGGGGGTTTTTTTCTTGAATATTTTTCTCTCCACTAGATGTAAATGCATCAAAGGAAGGGGACACATTTTATCCCTCTTGGCATCCTCAGTACCTAACACAATACCTTACGTACAGGTGACACTTAGGACGTATTTATTGTATGAACGGATAACAAGACCAGTTCTTCAAATTACAAGCTCCAATATCCCAGGAAAATTTGCCTCGGCACTGGATTTGGTGAGTGTTACTCTGTCACAACTTCGGAAGACTCCCAGTTCTAAGGAGACGTGAGAGGGGCGTCAGGGTACCATCTTTGCATCTCCATCCCCTCGCTGCCTGCCCCAGCAGCTGCTCAGCTCATGTCAGCCTCCCCTTATCTGACTCTATAGATATTTGGGGAACTTGTGTAGTCTTTTCTGGCAGAAGTGGTTGAGGCTGAGGAGATGACATCATAATAGGGGCTGCACAAGGAGGAAGTCCAGTCAAGTGCCCCTGAGGGAGGGCGTGATCAAGACTAGAGTGGGTGACAAGAAGGCTAGGGTGCTCCTTCAGGCAGCTCAACAACAGAACAAGCCCAGAGAATCTCAAAGACTGGAGGCTTCCTCACTACTTGGCCCTTGGGTACCCCAGAGGATGAGTGTCTCCTTTACCCTTCACTGGAATTGTGGCGTCTTCTTGGCGTTTCTCCCACTGGATCTGTAAGAAACTTAAGCATATAATTCTTATTAAAGGTAGGGACTGGTAGAGTGGGCAGAATTTGCTAATTAGGTGCTTTCCAAGCACTTGCTCCCATCGATTGAACTTGGCACGTGTTCTTTGGGAGAACTGACCTTTGTGCTTCTTCTGCCCTCCCACAGGCCCCCGCCCTGAGAATAATCCCCCAGGGCTCTCTGGGCCACTGCGGAAGCCAGGCTGGCTTGCTCCCAGTCTCTCAGCTGAAATGATGACTGAGTCTCTTAGCCAGCTTCCTAACAGCTCCCTGGATTGGCACGCAGAATTTCTTGAAAGTAAAGTTCTTCCTTCCTTTCCTGGGAGAATCTTCCCCACGCCCAGCCCCTTCTGTGTTGCTGCTCTGAAGTTCTCTTATGCATTCTCTAAATGCCCCGTATTTCCTGACAACGCCAGGCTTGACTCATTGTCTCACCTGACGAGTGTTAACACATTTAGTGGAGGACTTCAGCCCACTCGTGTTTATTTTAACCACCAATATATTTAGTCATCCTTCTGACTTTTTAAATTCTACTTTCCATGTTGTCCTATTTGCTGCTGTTTCTCCCTCCTTCCTGATGTCTACTGGATGACCAGGGTTTCTTTTTCTTTCCCTCTCTAGCAGGGACACTTTTTCTGTTATGGCCAGATAATGAATATTTTAGGCTCTGTAGGCCATATGGTCCCTGTCACAACTCCTCGATCCTGATGTTACAGCGTGGAAGCAGCCAGAGACAGCACAGAAATGAATGAACATGGCTGCGTTTCAATAAAACTGTTGACAAAACAAGCAGCAGGCCAGATCCGGCCTGTGGCCCTAATTTACCAACCCTCACTGTAGAGGATTAGAAGTTCTACATCCTTCCTTTTTAACGAACCTACCTTGCGTTAATAGAATCCACATGCAATTTATATGACAGATAATCTAAACGCGATGACTTGAACAGGGCAGTTTATTTCTCTAATTATACGTGAGCAGTCGCAGCCTCAGGACCCAGGATTCTGTCTTACTGGTCCTGGTCACTGCGGTGCTGCCCTCACTTGTGCCTCTGTCCTCACCCAGGTTTCAGCCCGTGGAGGCGGGGAGGAGTGGAGGGTGTGCCCCTTCCTTTCGGGGACAGCCTGGAAGAGGCACGTAGCACTTCTGCCCGCACCCCTTCTATCATGTTTGTCGTGGGTCACACTTGGCTTAGAGGGACTCTGGGACTTGTAGACGAACTGGCAGGCCACGTGCCTGCTGCAATCCTGTGACCGTAGAAGATGGGAGGATGGAGATCGGGGGCATCTAGCTGGCTCTGCCACAACTAAAACTTTGATTTTCTGATTTCCTTCAGGGGTTAAGTAGCGTCTATAGTCCCTCTCTGATGGCACGTATTTCTTCAGCACATTCAGAATCCACTTATGTTTCTACTGCTATCGGGTGCTCCACACCCCGAGTTAGCAGATGCGACTGCTGCTCTGATGGTCGTTGTCTAAGATCTCACCTCCAAGCTTTCTGGACAATTATTCTACGTCTTTCTCTCCTTTTCTCATGGAGAAAGAAGAGGCAGGACATGGGAAAGGCTTAAGATTTCTGCTTGGAAAGCCCCAGGTTGAATGACTGTAATTTACACAGAGTTCCATGTCTGGCGGTGGACGACGTGAAGTGGAGTGTCGGCTGAGGTGACACGAGCCCCCGCAGACGACACGTTGGTGAGTCAACTCTCCGCTGTCGTGACTGCTCTGAGAACCTCAGGCATCAGCCCCTTTGTGAATAGTTTCCATCTGCACGCATGGGTGTCTGACAGTGTGTTTACATGCACATTGGGAAGAAAAGCCAAAATTATTTGGCTTGGCGTCCAAAACTGCCTCTATTTTTGTTGTCTGCAGTGCTCTGATTCAGTGCGTTTTAATGAGTTTTTAACAATGCATGAATTTGAGTCAGAGGAGCTCAAGGAGAGGCTGGATGGCACCCACTTATTATGGGATATGAAGGGATAAGACGTCATCTGCAGTTGCCATGCCGACAGCCCCAACTTCATGCCCTCTCTCCTTCAGAACTGAATTGTTCTCATAGCAGCTGGGCGCAGGCAGCTTGACGTAATTGGGTGTCTTCCTTTAGCAGGTTTTAAATCTGGAGTCCTCCTTGAGGTAATCTCCAAGTTCTGTCTTGCCCGGCTTTTATCAGCCTTCTTTAGGATCCAGGCTTTGAAACGCTTCTTCCTGCACGGCCATGAGACATTTGTGGGTCACCGTGTGGGGATCTATCTTGACACAAGCAAAGGCAGACAAGAAATGTAACATTGTTTTCTTTAAAGACTGGAATAATCCCTTTTTCTGCACACTATTCGGCTGCTCCTTGGCTTACGGCATTGAGCCCACAATGAAACAAACTGAAATCTAAAGGCATTGGCTTATATTAATTTTTTTCTTAAGTGAAAATATAATTTAGCCTCTCTCATTTAAGTATTACTGAGTAGCCTCTAAATCAGGGACAAACCAGTATATTTTAGCTGCCTGCAGTTTCTTCCTGCTGCTGGAGGTAGACTTTGAATTTTAAATTGCCGGAACTGGAAAATTGCTATCTGGGGGCCCAGAACCAATTTCCGTGTGTTAAAGTGGAAACTGGAATCTGTTCTGTGGGCAAGCCTTGGTGAGGTTTTGCATTGCAGATAGGTGTAAAGCGAATAACTCCACATTAATTTTGGGAAAGCTCCGAACCACTGAAATAATACAAATATAGATGCCTCAGACTGAGACGTTTTTATTCAGTTTAGAAATAGGAGCCAGAGATGTCTTTATCAAGACTATGTCCTTGCAGAAAAATATCTTTTTTCTAAATATATATTGAAACTGTGTCCCAAAAGGGTAGTCTTTAGGACTGAATAACCTACCACTTGGTTAACATGTTGCTGATTAATTACGTGGTTGCCTTGAGGTGAGGGGTGGGGTCAGACCACACTGAGACTCCCCCTGTCAGTCATACTGGGGTGGGAAAAGAAAGACGGGCTTTGGAATGATGGAAGGAGGATTCCGTCTGGATGACTGAGAGAGATGGGGAACTAGGCTCTTAGGAGAAAGAACATGGGAGGTGGTATTTGTGGGACATAAGCAGATGTCTATAAATAGTCACAGATCAGGAAAAATGACCTGCGGGGCCTCTGCGAAGTTACGTGGTCCGTGGTCCCTACTTAACTCTTTTACCCCAGAATTTACTAAATATATTCAAATAAGGAACCCGTCTGTTGCATAACACTTGTTATATATGCCACAGAATACTGTTCTGAAGACTACACCATGGGCTATGGCACTAGCCAGACTTCCCCCTAGCGTGCATCGGGACCACCTGCACGGCTTGTTGGAACACAGATCGCCCCACTCCCAAAGTTTCAGAGTAAGTAGGTCCGGGGTGGGCCTGAGGATTTGCATTTCTAACAAGTTCCAGGCTGCGTGCTGATACTGCCTGGTCCAGGAAGCACACTTTGAGAATGAATCACAGATTGAAATGGTCTGGTCCCTCGTTTCTCTTTCTAGAGTAACACAAATCAAATCCAGAAGTACAGTCATTGAAATAAAGGCCATGTATTAGAAGTCCACAGCTAACATCGTATTCATGGTGAAAGACTGAGAGCTTTTCCTCTAGGATCAGGAACAAGGCAAGTATGCCCTTGCTCTCCACTTCTATTCAACGTAGTAGTGGAAGCCCTAGCCAGAGCAATTAGGCAAGGAAAATAAATGAGAGCCATCCAAATAAGAAAGGAAGAAGTAAAATTGTCCCTGTTTGCTGATGACGTGATCTTATATTTAGAAAATCCTAAAGACGCCACAAGGAAACTGTTAGAATAATAAACTAATTCAGTAAAATTGCAGGATGCAAAATTCAGTCCATACACTGCCAACAAACAATCTGAAAAGGAAATTAAGAAAAAAATCCCATTTACAATAGCATCAAAAAGAATAAAATACTTAGGAATAAATTTAACCAAGGAGGTGAAAGACTTGTATACTGAAACTACAAAACATCGGTAAAAGAGGTTAAAGCAGACACAAAAGGAAAGACATCCCATGTTCATGGGTTGGAAGACTCAATATTGTTGAAATATCCGTGCCGTGGCCGGCCCTGTGGCTGAGTGGTTAAAGTTCTGCACACTCATTTTGGCACCCCAGGTTTGTGGCTTCGGATCCTGTGTGCGGACCTACTCCACTCATCAGCCATGCTGTGGAGGCATCCCACGTACAAAACAGAGGAAGATGAGCACAGATGTTAGCTCAGGGCTAATCTCCCTCAAGGAAAAAAAAGGAAGATTAGCAGCAGATGTTAGCTCAGGGCCAATCTTCCTCACAAAAAAAGAAAAAAATCCATGCTATCCAAAGTGGGCTAAAGATTCAATGCAATCTCTATCAAAATCCCATTAGCATTTTTTACAGAAAAATAAAAAACCATTCTACAATTCATATGGAACCACAAAGACCATGAATAGGCAAATCGATCTTGAGAAAGAAGAACAAAACTGGAGGCATCACACTTCCTGATTTCAAAATATATTACAAAACTACTGTAATCGAAAAAATATGGTCCTGGCATAAAGACAGACATAGAGGCCAGTGGAAGAGAATGGAGAGCCCAGAAGTAAATCCACGCATAAAATGTCAACTGCTCTTCAACAAGGATGCCAAGAACACGCAGTGGGAAAAGCACAGTTTCTTCAGCAAATGGTGCTGGAAAAACAACAGCCACAGCCAAAAGGATGAAGTTGCAGTTTTATCTTATACCATACACAAAAATTAACTCAAAATGGAATGAAGACTTAAATGTAAGACCTGAAACTGTAAGACCAGCAGAAAACATGCAGGAAAAGCTTCATGACATCGATCTTAGCAGTGATTTCACGGATATGACCCCAAAAGAACAGGCAACAAAAATAAAGTGAGACAACATCAAACTGAGGAGCTTCTGCATGAAGAAAGGACGCCATCAACATTGTGAAGATGTACCAAAACGGGGGAAGCTGTCTGCAAACCATAGATCTGATAAGGGGTTGATCTCCAAAATATGTAAGGAACTCCTACAACTCAGTAGCAAAAAAACTAATAACCCGATTAAAAAATGGCCTAAGAACTTGAATAGACATTTCTCCAAAGAAGGCATACAAATGGCCAACAGGTATAAGAAAAAATGCTCAATGTCCTTAATCATCAGGGAAATGAAAATCAAAACTAGAACAAGATATCATCTCAATTTGTCAGGATGGCTGTTGTCATAAAAACAAAAGACAAGTGTTGGCGAGGATGTGGAGAAATTTGAGCACTTGCACACTGCTGGCGGGAGTGCAAAATGGTGCAGCCACTATGGAAAACAGTATGGAGATTCCTCAAAAAATTAAAAATACAGCTACCATGTAATCCTACTTCCGGGTATTTATCCAAAAGGTGAACATAGCACATAGAGGACGTTATGCTAAGTGAAATAAGCCAGGCACAGAAGACAAATACTGCATGATTCCACTTATTTTAGGTATCTAAAATAGTCAAAATTCATAGACTTGAGAGTAGAATGGAGGTTGCCAGGGACTGAGGGGTAGGAGAGACGGGGAATTACTAATCCACGTGCAGAAGTTCAGTTCAGCAAGATGCATAAGCTCTAGAGATCTGCGGCACCCAGAGTCAACGATAATGTGTTGTGCGCTTAAAGATTTGTTAAGAGGGCAGATCTCGTGTTAAATGTTCTCACTAAAATAAAATAAAATAAAAAGAAGAAGTAGTCACTGAACTCATGCCATGAGCAGGTGTTCTGCCCAGAAGCGCAAAGGCACGCTGAGAAAGAAGATGCCAGAGACGGAGACGTGAAATAGTCACCCCACACTTAGAGCAAGGTAGGTTTTAAAATCAACAAGCACTTACGATATTATCCAAGCTTCCTGGCTATTTTGATCATTTTCCAATTCAATGGTGTTTTTGTTTCAAGTGTAAAATAATTGAAAGGAGTTTTAATTATTAAGATTAGCTACAGGGAATATCTGCATTCTTACCCCCTTAAGAGCCTCTGGGCGTGCTGGTCTGTGTCACCACAGCCGTGTGACATCCAGTCAATTAGATCGGAAGAAACCCAGTCAGTCGTCAGTTGTTAGGCAATTTGGAATGTAGAACAACACACTGTTTTGTTGATTGCTTTGGCTGAATTGATTAAATGCCTCCGAGAAATGGTGGAAACACTTCAGTTTGTGTGACAGCTTTACATTTCTGCTTTCCAGTAATTATAGTCTCTGTTGAGCCAATACTTCCAAAGGAAATACCACGAAATGTTCTGAATTGGTGTCTCATTTGCAATATGTTATTATCTTCATTATATTTACCTGAAATAGAGGATTAGCAGAAAGAAAACCAAAGCACAGCAGGATAGAGGAGCTGCCTGTCCCCCACAGAGCTCACGTGGAGAAGTTAAAGTGCGCAACAGCTACTTCTGTGTCTCTGGGCAATTGGAAGGTGAGGTGCACGGGCTGTCGCCCACACGTCCTGATACGCTTCCCTCCACGTTGCCTTGGGCATCGGCTCTCGGCACACCTGCCCAAAGTGACAAACTTCAAGAGCGTGTCAAGATCACTCCTCTGCGTTTCAAAGCCTCTGGGAACCAGCCAGCCAGCTGTCTTCTCGTAATACGTGGCTCAGTGAGTGGGGTGGCGCTGAACTCTGCTGCTCAGATACCCGGCTGAGCCGAGCGTGACTCTGGCCCTAGGAGCTGCCTCTGAACGCACCGTCGCATCTGCACCAAGGTCACAGTTCCCACAGCTGCTCCCATCAGTGACTGAGCAACTGTGGTTCCGTGCAACGTGAGCCTCCTTCAGTGGGCGAGGCGGCTCGGGGCCTGCCCACGGGCCTGGCTGAAGCTCCGCGGGCGCTGCCCTGCTGTGTTGCTACCCACCGTCCTTCCCTCTCTCCATCCACAGGGGTCAGACCTTCTTTCCATCTGAAGGTGCTTTCTGCCTCCTCCTGCTCTCACTCCTTTATCCTTCACACCCGTCACCCTCTCTTACACAGCTAACTCCATCTTGGCATCCACTTCTCAGAGGACCCAAACTCACAATGATCACAATTTTCTCTTTTGTTGCTGGGAAAAATTGGCTCTGAGCTAACATCTGTTGCCAATCTTCCTCTTTTTTTTTTCTCCCCAAAGCCCCAGTACCTAGTTATATATTCTAGTTGTAGGTCCTTCTAGTTCTTCTATGTGAGCCACCACAGCATGGCAACTGACAGACAAGTGGTGTGGTTCCACTCCCGGGAACTGAACCCAGGCTGCCAAAGCGGAGCACACTGAACTTTAAATGCTAGGCCATCAGCGCTGGCTCAACTATGATTTTTAGACCATCACACAAAACAAAATCAAAGTAATCTGTAGTTTATGAATGAATTTTAAATAATGGAAAAAACAGTTCTGGGCCTGGAGTAAAACAAAAAATTCGAAAGTTTAATAGTTCTCTTCTCAGGGTCCCAAAGTAGGTATAAAGCCAGTTGATATTTTCTATGATGTTACATCCTTTGTAGTTTGCATGTAGAAACATCCCCAGCAGCACATTGCTGTGAGAAAAAGTCTGGCTTCTGGGCCAGCCCTGGTGGCCTAGTGGTTAAGTTCTGTGGTCTCCACTTTGGGAGAACCCACACTGTTGGTCAGTGGCTGTGCTGTGGTGCTGTCCCACATGCAAAATAGAGGAAGATTTGCCACAGATGTTAGCTCAGGGCAAATCTTCCTCAGCAAAAAAAAACTCTGGCTTCTCTTGATATGCACCCTTTCCTATTCAGAGATGATGCAGTCATTGAAAATTATCTTTCATATAAAAATGTGTAGCCTTTCTTTAACACATTTTAGATCATCTTACTTGTTTCTGCTTACAAGCTTTTCCTGTTAGAAAATCATTATGAAAGTACAGAACACTTTATTTTTAAATAAAAATCACCACCTAGTTCCAGCACCCAAAGGTACTTGATAACGTAGTTACCATTTGAGTGTGCATTTGTCTGTATTTTTTCTATACATCCATGTATGTCTACACAGTTGAGATAAAACAATATTACAAATTTAGGATCCTGCTTTTCCCCATGGTATTAGATTTCTTTATAGAATACTTTAATGGCTACACAATATTCTGTTCTATGATTATCTGGTTATTTACTTATCTATTCCCTTATTGTGGAAATTCAGGTAATTTCTAATTTTCTTGCTATTGTAAATAGCCTATAATGAGTATCTTTGTTCGTAAAAGTTTAGTCTGCATTTTGAGATTCCTTCCTTTACGTGGACCCCTAGGAGTCCTTCCTGACTTCCTGGTGAGCCCACAGCGTGGGAAGAACCCCACATCCACATGGCACATTGGAAGCACGTGGCCCAGCAGTCAGAAGATTCACTGCTCCGCCAACTCGCTGGGTGTCCTCCGCAGGTCTCTGCCTCAGAGTCCACACGTGTAAAATCCCAGAGTGGAATCAGGTAATCCCTATCACTCCATCCATGTTCAATACTCCTTAAACATTCACTTAATGGGCCTATCTCCTGCCCAGGGCCATAACTTTTGTTGTACACTTCAGTGCTGTATAGACACAAAGGAATACCACTAGTAACGGTCTAGGATGTTGCTGCCTTTATACCATAGAGAACACTCAATATTATATAGGAACGTGGTTGGTTCTGTGACTCTCCACTCTCCAGTCAGATACTTACTGCTGTCTGTGTGTTTGTCAATTAGTTTGACTTCTGAGTATTAAGAAGTATCTTATAGCCGTGTGAACCTGCTCAGGGAGCTTCTAATGTGAACCCAAGGTGAAGTGCCATTCACTTGTTGGGTGTTAAGGTCTCACATTTAAATTTTCCTTCTGTGTTCGCTGCGTTTCCATCTGGCTCAATCTTCATTAAACAGGCTGTATTAAGTGTTTCTCTGCACCTGGCCCTGTGCTAGGAGCTGAATTACAAAGACGTGGTTTTTGATGTCGAGGAATGTCTGACGGAAGCATCACAGTGCCGAGGACAAAGGAGTGGTGCACAGCCATCTGAATCTCGGTGCTGCCTGGCTGAGGCCTCTCAGGAGGTCCGGAAAGGAGGACCCTGAGGGATTCTGAGTCTGGGGGGCTGGGGCCCTGCAGTACTGTGCTCCTCAGAGAGAAGATGTGTGGAGGAAATGGGATCCCAGGAGCTTTTCAAATGAAGTGGCAAACCTTGGGGTTCTCCAGAGGGAGAACGTTTCAAGATCTGGGATCCAAATCAGTAAAGATTTTTTTTCCTGACAAAGGTGGAAACAGAGCCAGATTGAACATAAGTCAACTACGGAATAAACAGGGATGATAAGAACGTAGGGAAGGCAGGTCTCAGCGGATGGCGTGCAGACAGGTAAGGGAGTCAGCGCGGTGGACTGGGGCTAAGTACACTGATGCACTGAAATACTTCCGTGAGAAAAGGAATTACTTCCAGCTGCCCTGGACCTCACTGGGGCCGCTTCTCTTGACAACTTCTCTTTATGAAATACGGAGGTCTGGCTCTTTGTTCACACGTGTTGTGGGCTTTACCTGGCTTTGCCATCAAGGACTCCCCTGAGGGGTTTGGGGAAACACTTTGTAGGAAAGATACTGCCAGGGCCGGCCCAGTGGCATGGTGGTTAAGTTCATGCTCTCTGCTTCAGAGGCCCGGGGATCGTGGGATCGGGTCCCAGGCGTGGACATATACAACACTCATCAAGCCATTCTGAGGAAGATTGGCTACAGATGTTAGCTCAGGGCCAGTCTTCCTCACACACACAAAAAAAGAGAGATACTGCCTCTCCCCACATGCGTGTGGGGTAGAGAGAGTGACAGTTACAGTTTTGAGAATGCTAATATCACCAAGAATCAGTGCTCAGCTAGCTTGTGTTTTCAGAACGAGGATATTTGATAGGCTAACTGATGCCCAGCGCCCCATGCTATGCAGATGCGTATTCAGGAACTTGAAGCTCTGACGCAAAGCGTGAGATGAAGACTCGGGTGTGCTGGTTGAATCGCAGGGGTCCCAGGGAGCAGGAGTGAGGCGTCCGAGGGAGGGAGACAGAACAGGAGAAAGAAAGGCGATTTTGGCTTTCTGAGCACCCTGCACCTGTGGCTAATATGAGGGTGACATTGTACTGCTGTGGACATCAGGGACTCGTGCCAGCACAGACCCTCAGAGGAGCAGTGGAGAGTGTGGCTCACGATGGTCTCACTGATGGACGGGGAGGCTGGGGTTCGTTCGCCACCTTCCATTCCTCATTCACTGAAGCTCGTCCCCTAAGGCATCAACCTCCCTCACTTTCAGATCACATCCATGCGGGTGGAGCAGACTTTGGAAAAAGTCCTGAGGCAAAAAGTAGAGAGATGTCCTGGCACATGCTGGAGGTGAGACATTGGCCATTTCCAGGGACCGCCTGCTGAACAGCCCCAGGGTCCCCTCCCCATGGCTGGGGGGCTGAGGGCTGTGGTCCTAGGCCCATGGAGGACACCACCACTGACTTCTCAGTGCTGCCCGTGCCCTCACTAGTGTGTGCCTTCTTGTCTCAGTGAAGGAACTGTCTCTGGCCCTTCCTGGGGACCACCGTCTTGGTTAGGCTCTCTGGTGTCTCATAACAAGCCAGTTCTCGTACATCCTCTGGGAGCCTTGCCCAGGGATCGAACAGGAGACTGATCCAGTCCTGGATCCAGCGGCCAGTTTGCAGGAAACACAGGGGACAGAGGAACATGCTGGATTACATACGCCGCGAGTGTGCAGTCAGCAAAATCCGGACGGTGGGAGACTGCCAGTCAGAGGACCCAGATGAAAGAAAGGAGAAAGGGATAATTAGGTTAGCACTTAACAACATCTGTTTTTCTTTTTTTTAAATGGTCAAGACTAAATTATAATGTCCAGGGACATTTTATCACAATTGGGTGATGAAACTATTTGCAAAGCAGCAAGTACTGTAAAAACAACGGGGACGAGCCCCATGGAACAGGCTTCTGAAGTGGAGGCAGCGTTTCAGTTTTTGGCCTGTGTTGTGATTACAAAGGTGTTCGCTTTTATAAAAATTCATCGTCATACATTTGTTTTGTGTCGTTTTCTATATCTTTATTTTAATTCCAATAAAAAATGTTTTAAAAGAGAGAAAGATACTTTGGAGACACAACAACCAGATATAATATGTAGACCTTGTTTGGATCCTGACTTGAACAAACCAAGTATGAGATATTTATGAGATAATCAGGAAAATTAGAACATTGACAAGATCTTTGATGATATTTAGGAATTATTGTTTAATTTTAGATGGGATCATGTTACTGTGTGTTTTAGAAAGACACACAGGGGTATAAATGAAACAAATTGGCCAATGTTGATAATTGGTGAGCCTGGTTGCAGGGTACATGGGGGTTCGTTATATTATTCCCTCTACTTTTGTGCATATTTGAAAATTTCCATAATAAAAAATTTCTTTTATTGACCTTGTTTGGATGAGTAGGTCATAAGCAAAAGAAAGACGGCCCCGTAAATTCTGTGTATAGTTTGCACAAGCAGCTTCCTCCCTGTTCAGTTAACTGCTCTGAAAATTCTCCCTCAATGGGACAAGTGTTTGAGCAAATAAAAACTTTAGGGCCAGGTGTCATTTGTCAGATAAAATGTCCCTGAACACCCACTATCCCAATGCTTTTTTCAGGTCAGACAGGGAAAATAAAACACGTTTGACCTCCTTGCTGAAGGGCTGGAGACCGTGGAGCACAGGCTAAATTGCAGTGAGTGTCCAGTCCAGGGGGCGACGCCCAGATCGGTGCACCCTATAGGACAGAGCCTTCCATTCCACACTCTGCAGAGCTTCAGGTCCAGACCCAGAATCTGTCTCCGAAATGCCTCCCACACTTGCAGAGCAGCTGCTCGAGCTCCAGCCAGCACCCAAAGGAGAACAGAATCACACGGTGGTTTTCTAAGGCTTCGCTGCCTCTGTTTGTCATGCTGGCATCGGCACCACATGCCAACGGGTGCAGCGAAATGAGAAGAAAATGTTTCTATGACTTTGCTGCTGATTTTAAAAATAACGTATCTAATCAGCCAGCTGTGATTACATAAAAAAATTCAAATAATCATTTCCGCAGTTTATTTCATCCTAAACAGTTCTCAAATATGACTTTTCCCAAAACCGTAATACAGTATCAGACAGATGGCCCGTTTGATGGGTTCTATTTTAAACAAGCCCCCTGGGAGATTATTGTTTTTATGAAAACGTAGGAAAAATAATTTATCCCAGGTCAAGTGGACAGAACTAAAAATAAATTATGATTTTGACAATAGGAGGTACGTTTTATAAGAAAGTGTTGTCAGTTCATGGAGATACAGTGATTTGTCCCCCCTGGAACTTGAAAATAAGGGAAATAAAGATTGACTTGAGTGTTAAACCATGCAATCAGTATATGGTGATCAGAGCTGGCAACGCACATCTGCTTAGAGAGCGAGAAGCTGTCAGGGCAGCAGACGGGGGTCTGGAAGAAGGAATCTACGACTGCGCCTGAAGAACGCGTTCATCCAAAGTCGGTCACAGAAGTACGGGAAAACAGGTGTCACTAGGATAGGTGTTGGCTGTGCATGCCTAACACGGCTCAGGGGACAGGGAGCCTTACCCAATGCTCTGAGTTACCTGAGTCTCATAGCAAGACCGCCCGTCCTCAGCCAGATGGAAACTCAAGGCAGAGGTCGCAAACTGGAGTGCTGCACACCTGACCTAGCTCACAGATGGATCTGTCTGCCTCCTGTAGGCTTTCTTTTTAATATTCAAGCTAAATGGAAAAGTTTTTTTAAATGAAAATATTTTGCATAAGATTCTCCATTTATACTTTTCTTGAAAAAGCTCACATTCCCACGTGACAACAATCAGCTGGTACTAAGAGCTGTCCACAGCCCCCAGCAGGCACCGTCACTCAGCTCTCTCACCTGTCTGGCCCCTGAGTCGTCTCCGCTGGCCACCCCCAGGGAGTACCATCCACTAACCGGCCAGTCTCACTACCTGTGTTCTGGGTCCGTGCTCCTGACAGATCTTCTGGTTCCAGCCTGACTTTCCTTGTAGGTTCTACAGGGAGGAACTGGGCTGGGCATGTGATGTGAGGACTCCTGCCTATGTGACAGTTTTGTTTCATGGTACAGGAAGTATGGCATTTTGATTCTGCTTATCAGGCTCCGGTAAACCAGCCGTGAAGAGGTGTATCCACATCTCTCTGGTGTCCCAACAAAACCAAGTGTCAGTCTTCAAGCCTGAAAATCAAGACCTGCTTTCTGCTGAACTCACAGTGGCGAGCTCCCTGGTATGTGACTTGGGACTGAGCTCCCCAATGTCACCATATGGAATCTCCACAAAGAGGACATTTTCCCTTTTTCATTTTATATTTATAAGGTACTCTGTGCTCTAATTTTGTTTTATGAATCACATTTTCTTACGTTATACTTTTGCTTGTGGTCATGTGTGTGTGAAATAAAATCCGAAAATGGGAGATAAGGTGAGTAGAAGAGCATACGAAATGAAAGTTTTGGTTCGGAAATAAAATGAGCTTTGCCTTTCTGGCACTTCTTTGCAGAGGGCTGGGTGTATGTTTTTGGTTGCTTTATCCTTTGTTAGTATCATAGTTCACGGCTCTTTCCTAATCGCGGAAGAATTATTGTCTTGTCGAACTCTCAGATCTCATCTTGTCCACTTTGTTTGTGTCTTGGCCTCCGCGGTCATCCGCAAGCTCCCTTTATCTTCTAATTTAGAAAATGCCCATCTACGCATTAGACCTCAGTTGTGTCATCTTCCAAAAAGCAAGATGACTGGGAAAGAAAATCCTGCAAGCTCTTCTTGCACGCTCACACATCGCAGAGGCTTGCATCCTAGGCGTTTGGAAACCACAGGGAGAACTTTAGAATGACTCACACAGGACACACCTTGAGGGAACATAAGCTCTGAGAAATTCTTTCTAGCACGAGTGTTCAATCAGCATTCGTGGGACAACTCTCCACATTTCAGCCATGAACACAGACACCTCATCCACTCCCTCGAGAGGCAGTTATCTGGCATCTTCCATGCATGGGCGACCACAGATACACGCAAAGCCAGTCGAATGCAGTGCTAAACTTGGTACCAGAGATCGTAATGATGATGACGACGACGATGAAACAGACAAGGACGTTCTTGCCTTTGCAAGCCCAGAGGTGATTTCGGTGGTTCTGTTTTTTGCTCTACAGGATGGAACTGTCTGGCAGCTTACAAGAATTCCCAGAAGGGGTCACACAGATCTATACTTAGTGTCTTCCTCCTGGAAAGCGATGTCTTTGGACATCAAATTGGAGTTTAATGCAGACTAAAAGCTGGCAACCGCATAGGGAATATATCTCAATAATGCTTCCAAATAATTTTAAAAACACACCAGAATGTCAGAAACTCATTTTCTATCTCTGCCCCGCCCCCCATATCATTCCTATATCAACATCATTTGTGGTTGAAGTATCTTAAAATAAAAAGTGAGTATGTGGCGTATTGAGAAATAATAAATAAATAGATCTCTTAAAATTATGCTTTTGGAATCACATACGCATTTGATGACTAATCAGCCATACATAATAGGATCGTAACTGGCAGCTTCTCAGACCTTCCACTTCTACAGAATAGAATACTTCCAAGGTTGACATTTCAGTAAGTAAAATACATCTTCAATGACAGAAAGAAGTTTTGGAGTCAATTTTTAACTAGGGTTACAAACTTTATTTTAGATCTTGCTTTGTAAGAAAGAGAAAGAACAGAAAAATGACCACATTTTTGAAGGACTAAATATTGATGCTTTAATTATCGAATTTACAGTCCAGCTCCAGCACCTCAAATAAGGCACCTGCCGTTGGCCTGGGAAGGGTTTTATCCCATAAAGATGTTGTGTTTCTTGCCTTCAATGTGTATTTCGAATTTAGAAAGAGATCGGAACATCAGAGGTATGATTTTAATGGAAGCATTATTGTAAGCAGGACCTATTTTTTTCCTAAAATAGATCTGCTTGACCAGACCCTTGTTCCTCCTCCTGTGAACTCTGTGAGCAACAAGCCAAGGAATTTAATAACATGACAAATAGTGTTCTGGAAGCTATGTGGAGTATGTGTTGTTAAAACTGTTAACTTTTAAATGGCAACTGTCCTTTTTTATCATAGTGACAAAGCAATGACTCTGCGAGTTCCATGTGGGAACCCTGTAATTAATTTTGAAACCGCCCTAGCAATCTACGGGTAGGCGTAGAGATCTGACAGCCGGGAGGACATTTGATGGCCTCACAGAGGAGGCTTTGATACCGTGTTTCATAATAGAAGCTGGACGCCAAGCTTCAGGCATTACGTCAGTAACCACGGAACCGCCTGCCGGGAGAGAGCACCCACTTTCACCTGTCCCACTCGAAGCCGCTACCGCGCTGCTCTGCTCTCAAAGGATGCGACACCCTTGCCTCGTATTTGCCTTGCAAAGCAGGGACCACAGCAAGTCTATTCCACCGCAGAACCTCCGGCTTCGGGATTAGGCCCTTAGGTCTGTGGGACCTTGGCCAGTTTCCACAACCTGAGTCTAAAATTTTTATCTATAAAATTGATAAATGTAATCTATAAAAAATACCCATCCCATAACAACATAAGGCGCCATAAGGGTCACTGAGATGGCAGCGTGCCTGGTGGACGGTAAGTGCTCAATAATAGGAGGACTTGTGTTACCTGCACACACACACACACAAACAGACACACAGAGTTTGCGCTCCCTGAAGCGAAGGAACAGAGCTGCTCCTGCTTCTTGCCTCACTTGGCTCACAGACGTGGTCACCGCAGCTGAGAGACACAGCTGCTTCTGATTTCTTCTCAGAGGAAGAAGTTAGATGTTAGCACCACAAAGCGTGCGAGTCCCTCACTGACGTTGGTGAGACCCAGGAGGAGAGACAGCTTCCCTGAGCGGGCCGGCCGGGGCTGTGTGTACCCACGCGTGTGCAGCAGTGTGTCCCAGCCCCTGTGTAACCAAGAACACCGCTGTGCACGGCGAGACACAGGCGAAGACCACTTTTCTCCTTACAAATGGGACTGGACTTTCCCCCCACGGTAGTTTCCAACCCGGGTCATTGCTTAAATACCGCCTCTCGATGGGGCCTCCTTGGACCACCACGGCGAGGACAGAGCCACCTCCCCAGGCTGATGCTCCTTCCTCAGCCTTTCCTTCTTCCCTGACCCCACGCACCTAAAGGAAAAGATTGTTTCCATGTTTGTCTTGTCTATTGCTTATTGTCCGTCTCTATCAGCGAGAATGAAATCTTTTGGGGACAGGAATTTTCATCTGCTTTTTGCCTGGAACACTTGATAATTTGCTGAATGAACAAATAAATAAATAGATTTATTCATATTTGCTTGTGTATGCACAGAGAAACCTTGGAAAGCTTCTTGAGAAAACAATACCTTGTTTCCAGGGCAGAGACAGTGGTCTGGATGAACTGGGGGCAGGTGGGAGGGAGGTTTCAATTTTTTATTTTTGAACCACATGAATTTTTGAAATAAATAATTTTTTTATTTATAATATTACATATAATTTCCTGCACCCTCTTTTCTGTCAAGCCTCAAAATAGCAAATTTTCTTCCTGCTACATATACATATGCATCTGTACGTTTCCTTTCTGTGTAAATGAATGTCGTAAGAAAAGCGTGGAATCGAACTGCAATTTCAAAGCAGAGATATTCTGCTCAAACACCGAACATGGCCACGTCTTTAGTAAGGGCTTTCTGAACAAAAGCAATAACAGAAAGTTGAATCCAAGGAGGAAAACCAACGAGCAAGAGCGAGGGTGACCTCAGAGGGCTTGATAAACTGGCCACACGTGATGGCAACTGCTTTGCCTGGTGTTGGTCCTCACTACCAGGGGTCAGGTGGTGGACGGCCCATTGTGTGGCAGATGGAGTGAGCTCTGGGCTGGAATTCTTCCTGTGGAGCATGTCCCTGAGGCCGAGTGTGTGCCTCTGGGCTGTACCTTGCACCATTCCCACCCAAGGGCTCCTTGGTGCTGGGGCATCTGAGGCGAACGCCTGCGAGAGACTGAGAGACCACAAACATCGGATCGATGTGGTGAGAAGAAAACAGAAGGCCCGTGAGCTGGGAGGTGTTAACCGTTGTGAATTCATTTACATCCTCACCAGCGGAAGCAACAGGATCCAACATCAACACAAAGCCAGGAGCCTCGCCTTCACATCTCCAGTGTGCTGGAACATAAGTAAAATTTTAAATAGAGATGCTTTATTCTTCCCTTCCAGCCTCTTTTTCACCTCCCCGCCATGTTCTCCAGCCAGTTTTAGGTAAGTGAATTATTATTCTAGCCACATTCCTCTAGGGAGGAAAGAATAACCTCAATCCGTCTTCATTTGTCTCCTCTGACCAAGGAGGGAAAGCAGAGATGGTATCAGTCTCCTGACCCACTGGAGTTTGCTTGCGGGGATTTACTGACTGTGCGTTAATACATTGTGATAAGCAAGGCAAACAAATGAAGCTCAGCGAAGTCAGAAAGGCCGTGAATTACACATTCCTAAACCCTTATTATGCAGAAAACCAATTTCCTCTTCCTACATTAAGATCTGACCATCCCTAGACCCAGTACCTTCTGTGTACTTCTGCGGATTTTAATTTTGTAAATGATTAAAACCTGAAGAACGAGGTCATTTTAAATGTAAGGGTTTATTCCTCATTTCTCACAAGATCATTTCTCTTTATTAAAAAAGCTGGTGAATAGCAGGCCTCCAAAGTCAGAAATTGCCGAGTCACATACCACAATGACCTGTTAATGTCTTGCGTCAAAACAAAGTCTAAAGAGACTTTTAAATCGACTTGTTAGCTTATGTATTGTGTTTAATCCACTAACCTAGAAACTCATGTTAATGTAACTGGAAATTGAAATCAACGTTTTCTAAACTGCTCTCCATATTGCTCAGTGCTGGCCGTTGCTTCTATCCTGGGCCCTGTCATGACACCTCACCTGAGAACGTCCCCCAGACCAAGACTGTCCGTCACGATGCCAGAGCGGTCCCACACATCATTCAGCTCTCTGCTTTTCCCCCTACTTACTCACCCTCCATGCCTATAGTTAATTTTTCCACCGTAGGAGTCACACAATGACAGAGGAACAGGAAACATCACACCCCTAGGATACATGAGCACCCAGCCCAAGGAAGCAACCGGAATCCTCTGAGCAGCACCTACGCAGAGCAATGGCTTCAGACCCCAAATAGCTGCAGAAGACACGGCTCCCCTTAGGATGTCCAGAGACTGCAACACAGTGTGAAACTGGGCTTCCCAGAGCCGTGGTGGGAGTCACGCTCCAGCGGTCACAGGCTGGAGGGAGGGCCAGGCAGTTGCCATGGCAGCAGCGACAGGGCTGCACCAGCTTCCAGGACAGGGCCGTCTCGAACGTTTATAAGACAATCACTAGTCTGTGTTTAACACTTGCCGAGTGAAGATGGACACCATCTGTTTTCCGACTCCCTCCCTCAGTTTGCCTTGAGATTATCCGGTGGAATTCTGGAGAGGTCAGTGTGATGCATTCTCTGACTCGATCCTCCAGCCAGGCTGGGGCCTTTCCTCCCAGCTTGTGCAGGAAATGCGGCCTGGGCCAGTTTGCCGAGGGGGTGAGCCAGGCCAGCTGTAACAGGTGCCGGTCTCCAACTGTAGAGCGGTCGATCGGATTCAAGCGCTGTGGTGTCACTGGGAAATATGAAGAGCTAATTCAGGTGGTGTGGGAACGTTCTTCAAATCTGAAGTCATTTCAGAAACAGCAGCCACGGGATATTTCTTTTTCTCTTTATTCTTCTCTAAGTAATTTGCAGCGGCAAATTAGGCTCTGATTGCAGGTGTCCATTCTTCCCTAGGACAAGAGGCCAGACCCTCAGGTGTGGGTCCATTCTCTAGATAAGTTTACCCCCCACCCCAGGGGAGGTGAGCTTACTTGTTTATTGTGTTAAAATATACATAACTTAAAATTTACCATTTTAACTATTTTTAAGTATACAATTAAGTGCATTACGTACTCTCACCACCACCACCATTTCCAACACCACCATCCAACGCCACCATCCATTTCCAGAAGCTTTTCATCTTCCCAAACAGAAACTCCCTTATAACCAAAAAAAAATTAATAAAAATCGCAAGATACTATTTCTCGTATATTAAACCAGCAAAGATTTAGAAGTTTTATAACATCCACTAGAAAAATGAGTCAGTCTCAAACACTGTTGGTAGAAATATAAAGGTCTATGGCCTGTTTAGATGGCAATTTGACAATATCCATAAAAATTTATAAAGCTATTTGAATTAGGAATTTTATTTCTAAGAAGGTATCTTATAAGTATATTTGCATGGTGTATGTGTGTGTAAATACGCCATTTATCTTTATACACTAGATAAGTAGGTAGATAAATAGATTCATAGATAGGTCATCATTTATTGAAACAGAGACATGGTAGAAAAACCTGCTTGTCTGTCAATTGGGAATTAGTAACATAAATGATTATATCTCCAATAAATGTGGTCTATTCCCCCGATATAGCTTTCTCCCACCTGAAATGGGTTTCCCTTCATTTTTCTCCTTCAGGAAGGCTTCTTGTGTTATTCTGTATCTCAATGATGATTTCTTTAGGGAATGGTAGGGTGTTACCCACCATATCAACTTTCCCTCACTTTTACCACCCTGAAGTGGTAGACTGAATGCATAAATGGTCCGATCGATGGCCTCTCCATAGCATGCCCTCTGCCTTGTACCCATGGAGTTCTGGCCCAGATTGAATCTGGGCTTGGCCATTGGCCTGTTTAGGTTAAAAGGAAAACAGCAAACTTGACACACAGACATACACAGAGGCTTGAAAAGAGTTTGCCCATTTCTGCTGGACCGCTACGATTGCCAAAAACACGTGCCCAGGCTCTCCTGCTCAGGATGAGGTGGTGAAGTGGGGTCCAGCCGTCCCCTTGAAGCCACCACAGATCATCAAACTGCTAGCTAATTGTCAAGCCAGTGACGAAGCCCCAGCTACGATCAGAGCACCGCCAGACGCAGTGGAGATCGGCAGAACCACCCAATCGACGCGTAGATTCATGAGAAATAAGAAGTCGTGGTTCTTTTAAACAGCTGTAATTCAGAGTTGTTTGTTATACAGCAATGGCTAACTGATATATCTGCCAATTTACCTGTTCCAAAAACATGTATATATTCCCAAACTACTTGTGCTTACTAATTGCCATTCACTATCTATCTCAAAAAATATTTTAAAAATATAACCTATCATTAAGTTCAGGCTACTCTATTATCCTCATGGTTATTTAATTATGACATCTTCTACAAACCTAGTTTGTTTGGGTTTTTTTAGAATTTGGTTGTTTCTTTCAGTCTTCTTAAATCAACCTCCATTAGTCTTTTGGAAACCGAGCTTTCCCTTATTATCTTCAGTGGGTGGCAATCAAGATAGTGATTAGGAGCAAAGTAAAGAGAAAAACCTTTGGAGAAGATTTCCTAAAGTCACCAGTTCAGGGGTTTCTTTTTTCTCCCATCCTATCCCAGTTTCATCTGTGGCTCAGGACCTGGGCTGACACAGAACTGCTTTCAAATACAGGAGAAAGAGGTGCCCCCACAATCTATACCCATGGTAAGAGAAGTTAAAAAAGTAAACCAGACGCCTTTCAGATCGAGATGAATGCACCTTTATTTTGATCTCGAAAAAATGTCAAGCTGTGTTTACATGCTGTGTAATACAAATGGATTTAAACTGCTGTCTTCACTTTAGCACTTTCAAAAGTCTATAGAAAATAGACACTACAAAAGGAGGAGGTGCAAATATTAACATGAAAACTCCTAACTTTCAAATGCACCAGCTTCTCTTTCTGCCCAGCACCTTTTCTAGAATCTGTCTTTTCCTTGCATTTGGTTTTCCTTTTCTTTAACAGTCTTCAATTTCTTGAAACAAAGGAGGATTGATGAGGACCTTCCTTCAGGCTTCAGGTGCCCCATTCTCAGAAGATGAAATGCTTCTTCAAACATCCTTTGCAAACAAGCTCTCAAGTCAATTATTCTCCTTTTTCGGTAATTTAAAACAAATTGTACCATTAGTCATTTAACACCAGCAAAACGCCTCCCTTTGTGAAAACCACCAAGCCATTTGGTTTAAAAAACTAAAGGATAAATCACATTTACCTAATGGGGGAAGTTGATCATTTCTCCATATGCTACTCCTGAAATTGACATGGCAGAAGGTGCCAAGAGGAAGAGAGAAACGGTAACTCTGAGAAAGAAAAATTGTTCTTGAATCCTCATTAAACAGATCTTTGTTTTAAAGTTTGATTCTGTTTCCACCAGGAAATTGACATTTTCACCTATGCTTTTGCTTACAATTAAACAGCTTTAAGAGAGCTGTTTTCAAAATAACTATTCCCAAACCAGTCTAGAAAGC